ATATATAAGGAGGGTAATCAATATGGTGGTATGTACCCAACGATGGTGATAGATTCGAATGGTGATGAGATAGACAACCCCGTTCGCGTTACCCAAGAACAGTGTAGGGAATCAGCACACTTTCTGGATATGCAAATAGGGCAAGACATTCCTGGTAAGACTTGTATCGGTATGTATAATAAGCGCCAACATATGGCTACGCTGAAGCAATATCGGGCATTCCCACATTGGGAAACAGTGTTATCTACTAGGTGTAAGATGTCGACGTTACACTGTCAAATGTGCCGATTTGCTATTAGATGTACTGACATTCGATTTTTCCAAGCTGCCACAGCCAGATTGATAGCTGACATGCTTGCACGTTTCTATTCTAGTCGACTTATACGTAATACTTTACACAATTTCATGTATACCTTTTTTCGTACCTCGCCAGTGACTGCAAACATCGTGGGTGTAAATGCACCTATGGTGCGGAATTCATACTGGAAGAAAGTGGAGTTGGGTATTTGGAATCGAGTAGATACGAATGACTTTTTGGTAGATTAGCCTGCGTGCGATTATCTTTTCCTTTATTGGGTAGTGTCCCGTTTCTTTGTTGAGCAATTCCTGGAGTAGTGTTGTTGTGTTATGTTCAAATATCGTTACATGTCTATGTGCAAAATAAGAACGCCTGTTTATAAATAATGACATAACAATCATGTTCAAATTGCTTCTAGCGCTACCAAAATTGTACACGCATACTTTTGTAGGAGCCTGATAGCTTATAGCGATGCGAAAATCTGTGGGTAACCGCATATTTAACCGTCGAAACCGCAAGGGGGAACACTGAAAAAGAAACGTGTCCCTTGCAATTAGGATAATCAATTTCTGTACACCTTTCTCAAAAATTCCCATACACCCAGGTGACAACGAAGAATTGGGAATCAAATTCCGCTGAACCAGAAATCTGCACTTCAAAGAGCCAGCCAGCGACGTCGCTGAGAGGAGCACGCATGCAGTCATTCCGGTTTTAGCTCAGCCACCCACCTCTCTTGGATTGCGGAGCTAGCCGGCATTTCGGATCCAGCCGTTGTGCGATATTAATCATCTCCGATAGGACTTGAGGAGGACGGACTGTAAAGCTGTGGAGTATACTGCACTGCGTTTGCTCCTTGCTGCTGCTCTTGGCTGACCCAGGACTTCGAAAAATCCCCACAGGTACGAGCAAACTTTTTTGTGTGTGGTCGAAGATGGACTGCGCCTCTGCACAAGCCCAACATGCCACCATGCACAACATACTACTGCTGCCGTTCACCTGTCGCCGTCCTTCCACGTCTACCTGTCCATGACACATGCTGCCACTTGATGCGGCAACATCTGGGAACAACACGGACACAGGGAGTACCCCCGTACCCATACGCACAACCTCTCATTCCTCCCTTGTCAAACACAAATGATGTAACATGCATGAAATGATGAACTCTGTCTAGACTATATTTACAAGTATGGTCCACGCTGCCTACAAATGGGAGAGGTAGCCATACCTCCTACCTACACACGGACGAGAGAGGTGAACACACCCACTGCATTTAACACACACCCACATGTCGGTTATGAAACCTCATCAACCACACGCCTCTATCGGCGACCACGTCATCAGGAGGCAATGATGAGAAATGTTCTCCCTTGCCCTTCGCACATTTAACGACATGAAATTACACAACATAACATATGAGACACACAAGACAGCTACCATACTGATCTTTTGAGCCTGTCACCCGAGAGTTGTCCCTATATGCTGTCTAGGAAATCGTAGACATGCAGGTAGTTTTCTCTGACCCTATGATTCCATTGTTAATCTGCCTCTGACTCTTTTCTATGATAGAGATGGACTCGTTGTGTCATATTAAGAAAAAAAAAAAAAATGCAGTGTTGGCGCGAAGCATACGAGAAGGACAGCAAACGACAAACAGAGACAATGCCCACAAAATTGAAAACACGTTTGCATCATACGAGACCAAATGGTACGAAGATGGGGAGATGATAGCCAGCTACAGGCGAGGCGGGGGCAGGCGGCTAGAGAGGAAAGACAGAGGTGTAGCGACAGAGAGCGAAGCACCAGCCCGTTCCAAATCTACAAGCCTATTCGGGTCGCTTTCCTTGAACCTCTTTGATACTTGGACATAAAATTAGGAGTCTAAAACTTGGGAGGGAGTAAAAATAGTTGGGGATAAAACACATAGCGTTCTTCTGATGATATCTTCTATGAAAACAAGATTACCGTATATGACACAAGATAACACACCACCTGGACCGATTTTCAAAGCTCGATTACTCCACGACGAAGGGGATGCATGAACGAAACGATACATTTTCGAAAAGCTCTCGATGAGACGGTTCCAACGCCGCCGTTTTCGGCGCTATGACTGTTACTTCACTTGAGAAATCGAGCTTCGAAAAATGGTCAAGGGGGTGTGTTATCTGGTGTCATATACGGTAAGTCGTTCCAAGTGCACAGCAGCATTTGACCTGTGAGGGGAGGGAACCATACGGCCGGCATCAACGCTTCATACTTCAAACAAAATTAACAGAGCAGCAGCAGCACACACGTGTTGTTGTATGTAGTACACACGGACGGTACCTATGTGGCAGAAGATACTACACCCTATCTATGTCGCACAAGACACTGACCCCCCTGACCGATCATCAGGGGAGATTACAATGCAATCGATGCAATCGACATCAATCGACATGACATAATCAATCAAGAGTCATCAAAATGGCTGAGCGACAGAATCTTCTGGTGGCAACCCGCTTCGTCGTGGAGTAGTTGAGCTTCGAATTGGGCTCGGTGTGGTACCTTCCAAGCTAACGCTGGTGTATGTACAGCGAGGACGGAAGGAAACGAAGGGGTCGCCAACAATCGGCGCTGAACACACAGGCAGACTGCACACTGCTGCAGACAGACTACCCTGCTACTGCTGTTGTTGAGAGCTGTGCTGTTGAGGGCTGTGCTGTTGAGAGCTATGCTCTTTGAAGTACATCATGTAGTGGCCATATCATCAACACCGGTCGCCCGTGGACACCACACACCACACGGTTGCATCAGCAAGGTCCTAGCCACACATTTTGCTGCATGCGCAGACCACGAGTCGAGAGAAAACATCTCTCACCTGGGTTTCCGCGACCGAACCAGGGCACTGCTGTTGAAGAAGGTCACAGAAAAAAACCAGCAGCTGGTACCCAGCCGCCGTCGTCGCTTTGTCGCCGTCCCTTGCTGTCATCTTCATCCGGTTTGCCGTCCGGTGGGCGACATTGATCCCTGTGTTCCGCTCCAGCTTACGCTTGAGCTCCTTGCCATTCATGGACGAATGGTCCTTCACGGCTGTGGAGGCCAGGTGTTGGAGAGCAACGGTCCTCCCCTTCGTATTGCCGCCGGAGCAGTCGGTGTGTGCGGCGTCAATCGTGTGCACCTTCCACACTCCGTCGGCACCCTTGTAGGCGCGGACTTGTGCTTTGCAGCCTACGGTATGGCCCGAGCACCGGTAAGTCTCCTGCCTGCCCCCGCTGTTCTTGCCCGCAACGAACGAACGGCCGTCTGCCGCGAACATTTGACCCACCGCTGTCCTAACATGGCTGGTGGTGAAGTAGCACGCGCCTTGCGCGAGGACCGCGGTGTTCACTACTTCATCGCTCATGTTCTGCCGATGATGCCAGTCTACCGTTCAGGCACGAGTGCCGAGATTGACCACGAGAGACTTGGTGGGTTGAGGAGCGAGATCTACTTGCAAGAGCGAGATCTTCCAGAACCGAGAGAGTTTTGCCGTCGGCGGTGGTTTGCAGGAGGAGGCTTGCAGGAGAGACATCCACTTCAAACGAGAGTTCCGCCGCGTTAGTCGTGTTAGGTCCGCCTCCGCCCGCCGTCCGTCGTCTAGGCCTGTCCTCCATCGGCCGTTTATTTTCGATTTAGATACACAAACTTTATTTCTATACTAATTTCAAGTAATTCCACCTTCTTATTCTCCGTCAAACAAGCAAGACGGCCGATGGAGGACAGGCCTACCGTCGTCGGAAGCGTCGGAACTCGAGTGCGGGGTGTTGGTGACGTGTGTTCGTGAGCGTGATCTGCTGTTGGTCTGTTGGTCGAATAGCCTAGCCATTTTCGGGTAGGCGAGAGTTAGATCGGGTACCCCTCCGGGGGTTNATACTAATTTCAAGTAATTCCACCTTCTTATTCTCCGTCAAACAAGCAAGACGGCCGATGGAGGACAGGCCTACCGTCGTCGGAAGCGTCGGAACTCGAGTGCGGGGTGTTGGTGACGTGTGTTCGTGAGCGTGATCTGCTGTTGGTCTGTTGGTCGAATAGCCTAGCCATTTTCGGGTAGGCGAGAGTTAGATCGGGTACCCCTCCGGGGGTTGAGTAGCCAAAATCGGGTGCACCCGGTGGGAATAGGGCCAGGGCCGGGTAGGGGCGGTCGTCGGCCAATCAGATGGCGCCAGGAGGGTGCTGCCGACTGTGAAAAACAAGTGTACCCGATAATGGCCGGATTGGGTCCGGGTGTACCCGATTTTGGCCACTCCTCGTTACTTTATCTCCTACAGCAGTGTCCTGTAGTGTTGCACCGCCCTACACACACATCGAAAGTCAAACAAAGTCACGTAAGAAAAATACGGCGCACACGCACGCAGCAGCAGCTACGGCCGTCAGGATGCCCCGTTGGGGCCCGCACGGGCATGTATCCCTTTTGTACTCCGGTGAAATCCGACTGGTTAATGGAGTTGTGTCGTCGTGCGTCTTTCGAAAACAAGTAAAGAACGAAACAGACCGAAACACAACATATTCGAAGTATTCGAAGTACCGCTACGTGAGTTCGCGTGTCTCCATTCAGACTCCCGCACCCTCCCCCCCCCACCCGCACGAACAAGAGATTTAATGAACGTGAGACAATTCGTCAGGTGCACCTACTAACGCAGAGAATATACACCAAAAAACAATGAAGGTGAAGCTCCAAGAACAACGTCGTTTGCCGTGTGTGTATCTTTGTGCACACCATGATGATACCGTAGGCCCAACGCAAGAACTTTAAACTTGACGAGTGAAGAAATCCGACACTATATATCTACAGCACATGTAACCTTGAGAAAATACAAGCACTTGAATCGCTACATTCCCGGACGCGGGGAACAATAAGCGCAGGGAGACATAATCAATACTCCCGAAACCCCGCCGTGCCACTGCCTAAACCCTGCGCCAACGCCATTGTTGCCGCAGCCGATATCCGCTTCACCCGGAAACTTGCTCGAAACCCAAGCTGGGGGTCGAAGCCAGTAAGTCCTGACCAACGCCGAACGGGGGAGCCGCCATTGGACGAAATCACCTCGAGGAAGTTTGTTACCTGAAACACGATACGCAGACCGCATTATGTGGGCTCGGTATGGCACCGGCGCGATAAACCAACATGTTCACTAGGCGACGAACAAAATATAGGCGACATCAACACTCGCACATGTCTACATAAGAAGAAAAATGAACAGCGATACGTCGCCTCAGATCTTTCCTCAGGTGTTATGAGCTGCGTCGGATACACATGTGCATACGAACAAGGAAATCATTTGGGCATGTGCCTGTTCACAGCATTTTTGACACATCTGCTTCACCGCTACAGGTTGAGATAGTTCTACTTTCCAAAACATTATCCTGACATCCTGACGATACAAGTTCGCTCGTGTGCACATCGTTCCAACAACCGAGCCCCCTCAGTCAAAGGATGGCCCGGGATATTTAAGGGGACACCGTGTGCGTTCGACCGGTGTATGCCCTCCGTTAAACCTTTGCCCTTCAAAATCAATCTGGAGAGCATGCCGTTCCAGCATCGGAATGGGTTGCCACGACTTGGAAAAAAAAAAACTAAATAGAAAGGTCGTATACTCTTTTACGCGAGGGACGGGTAAATGTTGTGCTGTATTTGTTGGAGATCATCGCGTCTTGTGGCAAGTTTGAACATACTCTTAAGATGACTCTCAAGTCGAAATAATATGCTTACCTTGCGGAGTTCAGATTTGACGCATGTCCAAGGGCTATTTTCACTTTAGCTGCTCAACACACTGTCGACGGCGGCGCGGCGAAGTGTCCGCTCGAAATCCTTGAACCGCCGGTCTCCCTCCTCTTGGTCCAGCCCCTTTGTAATCTGATCCACCGTAAGAGATCTGCGTCTCCTGAGCGAAGCGGCGTCTTGCATCCTACCCACATCGTCCCCCACCGTCACAGCTGTTGCGGCTATGAACGAAATATGCGGTCCTTCCCCCTGGCGCTCACCGACCCGCGGGTCGTGATCGCAGTTGTCGTTTGCAATCGCCGCGCATTGGGCCCCCTTGGGGAGAATGTCCTTGTCCTCAACGACGTTCGCATGATAGTCCTCTCGATGCTGCACTTGGGAAGTCGTAGCCCACAAGCCGTGCCCTGCTACAAAGTCGATAACCTGCCGGCAGGTCCCCTTTGACTTCGCCCACTGAGCACCTTTGATGTCCGCCGCTGTCAAGTGTCGACCAGGAAAAATCGCCTTCACCGTGCACTTGCAAAGCATGTACAAACGCCGTGCGAAGCCTCGCCTATCCTGGTTGGTTTTTTCGATGAAAATGGCAGCTGCCTCGGAAGTCGGCCCAGCAGAATCCACCTCGTCTGCCCGGGTGGCATCGCGAGTGGGGGCTTGCCGCTCGCAGGCGGCTCCTTCAAGCGCGTCGGCTCCATCGCTCCCATCATCCTCTCGCCGTACACTCCCCGCTGCGCTTGGCTGTGGACCGTCTGTTTTTATTTCATCCCACGCCCAGCCCCGGCCGGGATCCTCACTCCCTATATCGGTAATCTCGGGGTACAGGGGCATGTTCGTCATACCTTGGAAGAGTCCAACCAATGTCGGGGGCATCTCAGCTAGGGCATCTCGCACTGGTTTCACGGGTGCGGCCAACTCCACGCTGTACTTGTGCTTTTGCCGTCGGATGCGGGCATTCTTGAGATCTGGATGCTGATCGACATCGGCCCGAAAAGTTTCCGCCGCCGCACGCACGATCTCCATCCTCGCGTCAGCCTCTTTCGCTTCTTCGAGAAGACGCCTCACTATCTGCAGGGACGTATTTCCACCGGACGTGGCGTTTGTGGGCGTGCTCGGACCATCGAACGTGTTCGCCAGGCGCGCCCGTAGGGCGAGGGATGCGATAACCTCGTCCCGAGCGTTGACCGGGAAGAGACACAATAGTCGTTGGCGCCCGTCTCCAAAGCCCCCCTCGCTGCTGACCACTCGCGCTTGGCTCCCATCAGCGCTCGCGATGCTCTCGAACATCTGGCGCACGGCCTTCCGCCCGCTCCTACGCTCAAGTTCTTGGTCACCATCCTTTGCGCGCTCAGCTGAGAGCCAGTCGAACACATCCTCCCAGTAAACGATGTCCCCATGAGCTACGGCTTTATCACCAACGCGCGCACCCGGCTGAACGGCTTCTCCGGCGCCGGTTCATCGGCTTGAGGTCGGCCCTAGTTGCTCGATGTCGCAACCTTTTTTTGAGTAGCTTCTCCGATAGCCCGGATTCGAGCTTGATTGCAGGCCTGGCAGTACCAAGCTTGTGTGCGTCCTGATCCACCACCCTCCGTTATGTTATCGTCCACGACGTCCACACTGTACCACCTCTTCTGGTCTTTCACAGGGTACCCTCTCTTGCACACGCTACATGTTCGGAGCTCCGACTTTGCTTCCCTCTCGAGAAGAAAATCGTAGAAAAAATCTCGGCGTTGGCACATGCAGTCGTTGCTGGGACAAAGTCCTCGCACGAGAGGTAGAGGCAGCTCCCCCTCTCCTTCTTGGTACTCGGCCAAAAACAACCGTGTCGCTCGTTCAAGCCGTGGCCCTCTGAGGTGCGTGAAGCCAACGAAGTCCTCCGACCTATGGCATGCGGAGCATAGCTTGTCACTGACGGCGTGCACTACGCCTGAGGGGCACATGCTGCATTCGAGACCCGGGTTGTTTGTGAACCAACCGCACTACGCACGCCTACAAGGTTTCTTGCGTGTTTTTTTCTCGGCTCCGATCTGAGTATTCCTAACTCCAGGATCAGACTGTCTTCGCGCTGTACCCCGCTTGACGGAGTGAGAGCCAGCTGTTCCAAGTTTTCCACCGCAACTTCGACGCCGGAATTCAACTGTCCGCTTGCCTCCAGACTCCAACTTCTCACGTTCAGCTTCGGCAATCTCTCGCTCTCTCCGGACCTTCGCATGTTGCCTCGCCTCCTTTTGCTGCTCACTGTACTCCTCGTCTGCCATCCTCCCCTCAAAGACGGCTTGCCGCCTCTGCCCCAGCGTCCGTCTCTTTCTGCGTTTCCTACCGGATCCTGTACGGCTTCCCGGATCTCGGCCACGCGCGCCGGATCCCGCCACTCGCTTAGTTGCGACGCCAGGCGTACTTGCGGGTGTAGCCTCTGGGGAAGCGGTGCCCAGGCCGCCTCCCCGTTGACAAGTAGCCGTAGACCNATGGTCTAACGACTACGGCATGCACGACTATGAGTACCCCCCCCCCCCTCCCCCCCGCTGCCCGCTACTCTTACTGCGTCTCATCGCGCGTCGGCTCGATCCTCCCTCTACGGACAGGTCCCAGGCCAAGGATACCCTGAAATCGTAACGCGCACAAAAAGGAAGAGTTAACTCAACGTTATCCGTAGTGTGTAGATAATAGATAGCATGACACTCAGACAGTCATTCATGGCATCCCATCCC